GTCTTTGCAAAAAATACTGTTAACCAAAAAAGACAGTGATGTATGATTTTACAAAAATTTGACCCCCTGAAATCTGAATGCTAAAATGTAAAAATAATGTTACTGTATATGTCTATTCTGTTTTCTCTGAAAGGACTTTTATAATGTGAGCTGCCTGATATTTTGTTGGTTTACGGGTGTGGCCTTGGTATGAGCCCTAAAGGGTTTCTGTCACACTCCATCACATTTTTTATTTTTTATTTTATTCTATTGGTGTATTCTGAGTTTTAATTTTGATCTGTTTTAATAAAAAAAAAAAAAAAAAAAAAAAAAAAAAAAAAAGGATCTTATCATCGTCATTTCCCTTTGCAAGTTTTGATTCCTTTTTTCCTCTCTCATTTATAAACTTTTAGGAGATACGGAACGTCTGGAGACGGTCTGGCTTTCTGGAATTTGCCAAAACGAGAAAAACGAAGTGATGAGCAGCAAGTTGGACATTGATAACATGGCAGGTGTCTTCTACATGCTTCTGGTTGCTATGGGCCTCAGCCTGCTTGTGTTTGCCTGGGAGCATCTGCTCTATTGGAAACTACGCCACTCTCTCCACAAGTCTCACAAACTGGACTTCCTATTGGCTATCAGCAGGGTAAGGATTTTTTTGTAAAATCCTAGTTTTATTTTTACATTAGACTCCATGGACTGAAATAATCTAATTTACAGATCTGACTTCTTTTTCATAACCAAAATGTTCTTTGCTTGTCTTTAACATACCAGGGTATTTACAGTTGTTTTAAAGGAGTAGAAGATCCTGGGCGTTCATCTGGATTGGCCAAACCTGACCTGACCTCTAACTATGCTCAAGCAAACATGCTAAAGATGCTTCGCACCGCCAAGGACCTGGTCTCTACCGCTAATGTTGAGAGCTCCCTGGACAACGCTACCAAGACAATAGAGCAGTTGACCCGTCATGGAGGAAGTATGCCTGTTCGCGTTCCACAAGTCACCACTGAGTCTGTGCCGGGAGGCTTTGCTTATGTTGCTGAAAATCACTGTCCCATTCCTCAAGGGTCCCTTACTCCACCTCTAACTTGCGTTACCTCTCTGAAACAACACAGGGGTGTAACTAGGCCAACACCACTGCGCTACACACTTCCAACTCGTTCAACATCATGTCTATATGAGAGACCGCTTCCTGTGTCAAGCTTGAGTACGCCCCATCTTGCCCTAGGGGAGTCGCTCCCTCATCAGCACCCACACCACTACCAGACTACAGGGAGGGTCTATGTAGACTCTCATTGTCACTCCCCTTTCATTGCCTACTCTGATCTCCAGCTGCCTGACATTTACACATCTCACCCACTTGCCTCATCTCAAAACCAACATGTCCAAATGGGCTTCTCCCAACCAAAAAGGAGGGCCAGGAGTTTTCAGTGTGAGAATGAGGATGTAGAAAGAAGAACCCATGGGGATCAGGGAAAGATTGACAAAAGTACTATCAGTCTGACTGAACTTAAAGCCAATCACCTCCAGGAGAACCATATCTCTAACCCAAGCGTTGACAATGTTTACTCAGGAGAGGGGATGTGTCCCCGGGTGGAGAATTACAGCTCTTGGCCTCCAGAAGACCTTGCGCAGAGAGGGAGACGGAGACACCGGCGCCCCTCATTTCTTAAAGCAACTTGGGGCAATGACCAAATTCGTCAGTTTGATGAATCGCAGTCTTCTCTATCCAGCCAATCACCTTCAACCTTGCCCGACCTGTTTCCTTGCAATGTTACTCCTACATCTGCCAAGCCTTATAATCCCGCCCATGTTCGAAACAACCTGTGCCTCCCAAGGAACCAGGCCTACCTCCACATAAGGGAGGACCAGAGGAGGCCGAATGGACGCAAGGGCCAGAGACTGCGCTATTCCCAATCCACCCACCTCCCCACATATGGAGAAGCAGTGCGGAATGGTAATGGATTAGGGCGGGGTATGGTGCGCAGAGCAACAAGCTTGCTCAGTCGACAGTACTCGCACTATCTGAACTCATACCCTGGCCTCCCAATCTACCACAGCCCACTGGATCTCCAGCACCACAGCCATAGTTCCAGCCCGGTGTGTCAGTTGTTGGCCTGTGGTGGTGGGCGATGTGGGGGGCAGCGAAGCTTGCTGCATCAAGACAATGTGTATGGAGCTTATGGGGTCTATCAGGCAACCCAGGCTGGCTCAGAGGGCCAGGTGGGGCAAGGTGGAGCAGGCCAACCTGTTGGGAGTCCTTGCGTACTTCGGCCTTGGCGACGTGTTTCCAGTCTAGAATCTGAAGTCTGACCGGAAACCTTGAAAGACAGAAACTGTAGAGAGACCAAAAGTCAAGAATAATACATGTAACAACTTCAGAGAGTTTTCTGTTGTTAGATTTGAAGTTATATTGATTTTAATGGTGTCTTTGTGTGGTAAAGAATTGTAATTTGGGTCAGACACTAGAAACAGACTGCACTTTTAACACTCTTTCATTGATAAAGTTGAGGTCCATGTTACCGGCACAGCGTTAACCAGTGATTTAAGGCTGTATTTGTGTTGAACAGTTTCTCTGTTGACGGCTGGAGTTTAAGTATAACTGTTCAGTAGACAAACCGTTTACATCTTGAAAGAAAGGTTGGATAAGCAGCCATCCTTGGTTTGCCAGACATTCACAAACAGTTGTAAAGTAGATGCAAAGTGATTATTTCTAACATGAGGTAATCAGTTCGTAACGATGAGTCCCAGGAAGCAGACGCTTTGTGAAAGCAGTCCATATCTGTGCAGTCTGCAAAAGGATTGCGCCTTTAGAAGAGCATTGACCAGCACTAGGTGTCTTAAACCATCATCCTCACCGTATTGTGAGAGGCTGCAGCAGCACACAGGCCTCACTTTGAATAAATATGTATTCTAAGTACTATAAACTCATAGTCGAATGTGTTATTTGAGGCTGGTTATTGTTATATTCATGTATTCTACATATAATAGGAGTTTATAATCATTCTTTTTTTCTAAATACATCTCTGGCACTTTCATTTTTTTTCTGTTAAAACTGCTGTCAGATTATGAACACTTTTGGTACTATTTTATTATCATCATCAGTTAGCAGATGATCTCTTTCCATTTTTCAACTCTTTTATATTCTGTCCTCATCCCCCTTTTTACCACCCCCTTCAAGATGTTTAATTATCTAAATAAATGAGGTAAGTGAAAACTATTATAGTATCTATATACCAGGCTCCTACACCCTGTAATTAATCACAAACAACAATTAAAGAGTCTTTTTGGATGAACATAAACGTGTCTTTTTTTTTTAAGAGCCTTGATTTCAATTCCATGTGAATTATAAGAAACTGTTTTTATTTATATCTTTTTCTATTAGGTAGTTAAATAAAATACTAGGATAATTATTGTTTTTGTATGGTTTGTCAATAAGTTCCTTCAACGGTTTGGAAATGATCTCCAGTGAAATTTGAATCTGATTCGAAGTGAAATCAAAAACAAGACATGCAGAAAATGTTAAAAAAGAATGCAAAGACATTAGTAAAGTTCTTGCATTAAAGGAAAAAAATATGTTAAGACAGTTCTGAGGTTGAATTTATTTTTTTCTGGCTTTACAAAGTAAAACCGTTAACATTCAATACAAAGTTTGAGTAGATTGTGGAGCTTTAAAATGTCTTTAAAAGAGGAGAGAATCTGGGAAACATTAATGGAAGACGAAAAGCAAAAAAAATAAAATAAAAACTACAGGAGCTGTTGGTAAACCCTTCGTGTTGGACAAAAAAAAGAGGTGTAGAACCACCCCTGCAAACGTCTCACCATGTTTCTGCTGTAATGATCAGAACAGATGGACCCTGAACTCAAACCAGTTTGAAAGCTGAACACAGTTTATTGAAACAAAACTTCTGCAAGTGGTGTCAGCGACTCGGGCTATAACCTTTGGAAATGGAGACAGAAGATTAGTAACCAGGTTAGCTTTACAATGTGCATCAATCACAAATGTAATGGTCAGTAACCTTCTCTTTGTCTTCAGTCTGGGATGAACCAGGAGGGTAGGTTCAAGACGGTTGACAGAAGTTCTGGTGTTGCTGTCACTAGTCAGGAAGTCCCAGGGAATAACTCCAGCCAACTTCCGATGATCCGTGGTCAGGCAGAGGGTCAGAACTGTGAAGGCAATAGTAGGCAGGGGGAACAGGAGGTCAAAACCAGAATCTGTAGTTGGGGGTGAAGTCCAGGGTCAGAGCCAGGTGATCAAAAGTCCAATGAAGCACCACAGGGAAATCTAGGATGAGTCGAGAAACAGTTCAAGGTTTGTCAATTGGGAGGCAGACAAACACATCAGGGTCAGGCAGAACCGGCAGGAAGGCAGAGATAAGGCAGGCTCAGAAACCGAGAGGCAGAAACAAGTCAGGAAATCAGGAATGAACGCTGGAATGTCTTACCGAATGGCTCATAATAATCTGGCACTGGTGTCTGACCAGCAACAGTGCTGAGATCTAGACATCTGCACCACATTACAAAGCTCATCAGAGAAGTTCAAAAAAATCCAAATTAGTCTGCTAATAAGGATTTAGAAATAATTTAAACCGCATTTTTGCTCGAGTATTTAATCCTGTTGAAGAGCGTTACAGCAGTAAGACGTTTGTTTGAGTTTTAGTTGGAGATCATGACTGATTTCCATTCAGCCATGATCTCCAACGAACACATGATTCCCATTCATGTGTTCGTTCTCTGAGGCCAGTGGTTACAGAGCAGTTTTAGTCTTGCCTTGGGGTTTCCTACTCATGTCCTGTCTCTTGTCCGCTGAGCGTGCCCTGTTCCTGTTTTGGCTCAGCAGAGGGAGCTAGTTTAAAGTCCCGTAGTTTTTCTGATGTCATGTCTTATCCTGCCTCTCAACTACTTAGCTCACTTGTTCTATATCTGAACGTTTTTTGCCTGAATGCTCTATGGATTCCTGGAAACCTGGATCTGTCGGTTCCTGTTCTGATCTAAACCCATGGCCCGGTTACAGACTCCTGGATGTCTGAGCCTTCCTGTTGTGAACTGTTTCCCTGACCTAGCTTGGACGTCTGCCTGCTCTCTGGGGCTGCTGCATCGGGGACACTCGTTTGGCAGTCCATTGCCTGGATCCTGCTTCATTTTTTGGAGTTGGACTAAACTGTTAAACCAGGTAAGTGACTCACTTGGATAATCATCTTCCGTCAGATTATCATGGTCACTAACCTGTGTTTCTCATCAACCAGAGTGCCAGTGATAGGTGATGCCCATCTCCCCCTGCAGCTGCTGCAGATCCAAAGCTCGGCATTCTGTGCTGTTTTTCTTTATTGAACGTTTTGAACTTTCCCACTGTCTGTCTCGTCTGAATTAAAGGTCCTATAAGTCTATTACATCATCATTTTTACAGAGAGGGATTTGACCCTACTAGTCCTCTTTGGACAACATTGACCAGGGCTTCAGAGAAGGTCTCGCAAACCACCTCAGAGGGGTCAAGGGGAGATTTAACATCAATGATGCAAACCTTGATCATGTTAATATTAAAAACATAGAGCTACCATCAGTAGAGAGGAATATTGACGTTGACAGGCAAGGCTTGGCTGAGAGGAGCAACATCCGAAGTCTAAACGCATTCTGTGTTTAAATTTTTTTTTTTTGCTTGCATGGGATAGCCATGATGAATTCATTATTTGAGGAGGTCGTCCCTAAGTACTGTATGCCATCTTGGACCGTGCGTCTGTTATGGGATGAATAGGCTGTATTCACTGCAGATGAAACTTTACTGGGACAGTACCACTGCCTCTCCATCCATTATCCCTGTGATACAGTAAATGTTATGATAAAATGTCGGACAAACGGGATGAGAACATCTTGCCTGTTGAGCCAGGCCACACATTCCCTAACGACCTCATTTCAGAGGCATAGACCAGTTTTGGGTATTGCAGGCTAACAAAGAACCCAAACGACTCCCCTAAGGGCCGGACCCATACTTCCGGTTCAATTTTCATGTTTTCTAAACCAAAACAAGGCTTTGTTTTTGGTCCACTCTATAAATCCTCAAACTCAACGCTGTTTCTGACATTTTGAATGGAAAAAAGCTTCCTGGATGGGAAGCAAAACGTCTTCAAACTTGGAAACAAAGTCCACGTTTTTGATTAACTATGACCTGGATGACTGAAAATCTTCTCTAGCAAACAGATGGATGGATATTCCACCCAAACTACAACCCCAACAAAATTAGAGCTTTGTGGCAGAGTGGGTCCCTCCTCACAGCTGGCTGCTCTAGAACTGCTTCACTTCAATCCTCTTCTTCTATTTTTACTTCACCAAGTTACATCATGATTCAGTGTTACTACATCAGGTCGAAATATTGGGCCATGTATATGACAGAAAATATTTACATATCAGATTAAATAGAACCCTCTGTGTCTGGTTTCTGAGGCCTTTATGTTTAATTAAATGAGTGTATGTAGACCCCATTACTCCCTCTCTGATGCTGCCCCCTGCCTTTGCCTCCTGGAGGAATATTCTCCATGACTAAACCACATATTTAGATAAAATCCACAGAAAAATGTAAAGGTTTCCTTTTGGGTGGAAGGGATCAGACATGATATCAAACAGCACCTATCAGAAGTAAATTTAGACAGAAGACATTCTACTTTACCTGAAGGTGACCGGATGCTACAGCAGTTCCCTCTCCCTCTCTCCCTCTCTTTGTGTTGTGATGAGGAGATAAGACTCCATCCAGGAGAGCAGATGAGTAATGCTACAGAGACCAAACATTGAGCACTTTGATTTTTCCATTACTCTGTGCTTTGTTACTGGAGCATTGCCTTGGACTCGACTGTAATATTGATTAAATCCTCTACTCTGCTACTGATCCTGTATTTTTCGAGTTCAAGACATTTTAACTCATTCTTATCAGCAGAAAGGAGTTTTGCAGCCTTTAGTTATTATGCAATAATTTCCTACTAATGTGTTTTTTTTTGTGCAGAAAATCTGTCCAAAAACATAGCTTGTTTCCTTAATCATTCATTCAAATAACCCCGCCCTCATCATACTGCCAGGTACCTTATTTGTTTATTAAATGAATTAATAAAGTAAATAATAAAGCATATTGTTGATATTTTCCAGGTTAATTACTTTGTTTTTATGACATAGTTAAAAAAGATCTCTTATCAATGGAATATCTATAAAGTACTTTTGTTTAACTATTAAAAACAGCCAAGGTTAATAAAGTTATATGATGTGGGTGAAGATTCTCAAGCATCCAGGTCATGGTAAATCCAAAAAGACTGGACTTTATTTCTAGCTTTTTCAATTCAAAATGTAAGGAATAGCTTTGAGTTTGAGGTTCTATACAGTAGCTCAACAAAGCCTTGTTTTTGTTATAAAAACATGCAAATTGACACTGAAGAATGGGTCCATCCCTTTGGAATGGGGGACGTTTGCTTCTCCTGTACCCCAACCCCTTTACAAGAGAGCAGAAGACCTCCTCTATTCAGCCAGGCCAACAATTCCCTCTAACGACCCCCCCCTTTTAGAGACATAGACAGGTATGGGGCGTTGCAGGCTAACAAAGAAGTCAAACGACCCCCATTCCGAAAGGGTGGACCTGTCCGTCCGTTTCAATTTGCATGTTTTCAAAACAAAAACAAGGCTTTGATGAGCTACTGTATAAAACTTCGAATTCAACGCTATTTTATTTTTTGCTTTTATTTTTTTACAGATTAAAGCTAAATTCAATAAATCACGGCAAACATATTAGTTTTAGGTATTAATAATGATCCATTGACCTCTCACCTCTGCTTCATTCCCGCTGTTCCTGGTCCAGGGGCCAAACTGGAGCACTTCCGCATCACGCTGGAAATAGCGCAGAGTGGCGCGCTTTGCCAGTCACGTGACAAAGGACTTAAAGGAATAGTACACCCAAAACATGATTAGCCTTCATTTTCTACTCACCCCCATGCTGAACAACACTCTGGAGTACTTTTTTGATATCTCAAATGCATCTGGAGATCTGGGAGGCTTCTTGCTGTCTGCTGACATTCAAATAATGGAGGTCTATGGCGCCCGAGGCAGAAAGGTCCATAAAAGTCCACAAAAAACGTGTCAATATTCCTCCATACTGCTCGTCCAATGTATTCCAAGTGTCCTGAGTGGGTAGCGTCCAGAATTTACTCGAAACGAAGTCATTTAGAATGTTTTTAGAGCATAAACAGTAGTGTATAGGATTTCCTGAAAGCGCGTTCACGAGTCTACGGA